TGTCTATGGGATGCATGTGCTGTGAGGGATGCTCACGCACGAGGCAGGGCGATGCTCAGCTCCCATGCGAGTTTCCATGAGGAAACAGAGTTCTCCCCACATGCCACTGTTCTAATGCGGGTATCCACACTGCCCGCCCAGCAGGCAGCTGCCTGCATCCACTATTCCCCCTAGAACAAGACAGGGATGATTCAGGCCTTCACCCATCTCCATTCAAGAGCCAGCCACTCAGTTGGATTAAACAGAGATGACCAAAGCTAAACCAAGCCTTCCTAGCCCCAGGACTGTATCCCAAAGGCCCAGCCTGGCCCCATCAGCACAGGCAATGTGGAACACTGGGGTTTTTCATGCCAACTAATAGGTAAAAGGAGAACGTTAGGGCAAAAATCCTGGAGCATATGAGGCATCTCTGCAAGATCTGAGGCACCACAAGGCAGCCTCATGCCTGGGCATCGAGTACCAAGGCATCATCTAATCGAGGGTCTGGAACTCTCAGGCTCCAGAAGAGGGACCAAAATCTGCTTCATTTCACCCCAGTTTTGTGCCCAGCAGGAGACGGGGCTGCTCTTTGCTCTCCCAACCCCAATAACCCGGAGCATCATTCTCAGATGGGCAATATTTCCCCCCTGCGTGCTGAGAGGCGTTTTGCTGGGTGTTGATGGCCCATCAACCCTCCTCCTCCTCTGTTTGCGCCGGGGAAAGGAGGAATTACTGCAGTATTTATCTACCACACTCTCTTTCACCAGGAGATTCTGCATCTCCTCCGCAAAGCAGCCCTGGGGCACGGCTCACGCTAAAACCCCACTTGCTAAAGGCACCACAGGGGGCAAAGCTTTAAAGCAAACAGAACAATGGCAATTTAGAAAGGAAGGTGCTTGACTGAACTGAGCCGCGCTGGGGTCGGGGCTGTGCTGGCCAGGGCAGACCTGCAGCCCTCAGCAGCTTCGGGAGGGTTTGGTTTATCCCAGGCAATAGCAAACAGGCTTTTGGTGTGTAAATCCCATCAGGTGAAAAGCAACCAGGGGGAAAGGAAAGCCTGGCTTTGCTGCTCACAGGGAGCAAGGGAAGCAAAGGTGAGGATGCTGCACTGGGGATGTATTTTGTAGATAGAGGGTAAGGGTGATGCTTAATTCCAGGAGCTAAACCCTCATGGCCAAAACCTGGCACTATTTGGGGCTGGAATCACGTTCACCTCCTCCACAGCCATTCACATCCAGGGCTTGGCTGCTCAATGCTCCACAGCGGATTTACACCTGCAGAGCCCGGCGGAAAACACTTACCTGTTCTACAAAGGGATCCCTTGTCTTTCAGAAGGAATTAAATCGGGTGGATAAATACAAGTGGGTTTATTTCCTTTGTGGACACCTGTGGCAGAGTAAGATAGCGAGCCGAGGTGTGGCCGGAAAACCTTTCCCTCCATGGCCTGCATCTTGTCACCCAAGGTAAATACGCAGCTTAATGAAATTTCAAGAGGGAAAGGGTGAAATATTTGCCTTTATGTTCATCACCCTTTCAAGCAGGAACAGCATTTGAAGAGAAACAAAGATAATGATCATACACGGTGAACAAACACAGCCTAGATCCTGGATTAACCCAAGGACTTAAAAACCCAGCCGCTGGGGCTTTGGTGGCGCAGGGGGAAGCACCCATGTCCCATAGAGCGTGTAGGCCTTGCACTGGTCCTAATGTCTCTGCCAGAAGGACCCCTCAGCTGGCATCCTCACACACTGTCCCAGGGATGCGGCCACCAGCAGCAGCATCATCTGCATGTCCCAGGGAGCATTTGGCCTTTGGCATCGCGCTGTGCTCACAACTGATGCTCATGGTGCACCTTCCACCCCCCAGCAAAGCCTGCGGTTGCTGTTCCTCCTTTCACCCATCACAGAGCCCATTTAATCCTTGGAGGCCCTTAGGAAAAATACCACTTGGGAAGCTTGTAAATCATGGACAGCACTGTAGCAGGGAATCTATTTGCTGGTACCAGCCCAAGGCTTCAATACAGGAGCAAGCGCTGAGCACAGCAAGCGAACACCTATAGAGCTTCCCTACAGGAAATCCTGCAGGTTGAAGGAGTCGCTACGCTCTATCGGGTACATACAACACATGTGGAAATACCCTCTAAAGATGTTGACACAACAAGCTGTACCGGTTCCAACAAAGCCATTAGTGTCAATGAGAACATCGGATGCATTCCCAGAGCAAAGCACCAGCCAGCCTGGAGGGAGATGGGGATATCGGTGTCACGGCTCTTGGCAAATGCCCCATGCAAATGGGTGGCACCTCCAGCAGCTCATTCCTCCTCCTAAGGAGCCATCCTGAAGGCTTGAAGGTGATGGAGGAGCTGGGGGGTCACCCTTGGGCTTTAGTTGTTCTGCTGCTGCTTTTGGTACCCGTATGTCCCATGGGATGTGTCTCATCCTGCACAGCTGCAGGAATCCCCTATTTCCACTCATCAATAAGCCAGGCAGATGGCAGAGGGTTAAAGCAGAAAGGAGGGAGCAGAGATAACCATCAACGTGATGGTTTGCAGGGGTTCCTTCAGCCTTCCTAGGAATCTCAGCCAGCCTCTCTCCATCCAAGGGAAAAACCATCCCTTTCTCCCAACCACGGCCTTTTCCTGCTGGGGAAACTGGGGCTCAGCCCATGCTTTCCTAATGGACAGTCTCTCTTTACTTCCCCAAATAACCAGCCCCATTCTCCATTATTAGTTGCAGCACAAGGCACAGCACAGAAGCAGCACTTCCTGAAGTCAGGAAATGCAAACCCAACCCAGAGAAAACAGAGGAAAAGCTCGATTTACTCACCAGAAGTGGAAGGAGAGCAGCCTGAAGCCTTTGGGATGTTGAGGCCGGTTGCAGGTCTCCCTGTCGGGCAGGCAAGGAAAGCTTTCCCCGAGGGCACGGAGTCTCTTCCCGCAGGATCTCAGTTTTCCTGGCTCTTTTCCCCTTTATTCCAGCAGATTTCAGTCAGAATTTTGACAGCCTTGAGCAACCTAGGGGTAAAAACCCCTTCATCCCCCTGGATCTAACAGGGGTTACCGGGATGGGCAGGAACAGGCGCATCAGCAAGTTTAACCACGCATCAGCCAAGCACAAAGCCCCATCCTATGCAGACACTATAAGGGGCATTTCCCACTTCCTAAGGCATTACTGGGAACACGATGCAGCTGAATGGTGATTGCTACAAAGAGAAACCCAGGGTCCCCATCAGCCTTCATATAACCCCAGTATTTAGTGCTTATAATGCACGCATGAAGCGCGTTACACACCTCACCCTCCGGGACCTTACCACATGGAGGAAGGGGAGCTCAGGGTTTCCCCTGCAGTGCAAGCAGGGATATAAAGCTGTCAGAAAGGGTTTTGCTGGGCATAAACAGCACTTTTACCTTCTGATCTTGTCTCCTGTGCTCGTCAGCAACGCTCCATTGCACCTCCTTGAGTTATCACTGGCAGCTAAAAAGCAACCAGGAAAAGAGAAAGGGAAGAGGTGAGAGAAGGAAAGCGCTTCCTTTGGGGTGACCTGAGGACAGCAGCATCGTGCTGCTGCTTCCCTTTGCAGCCACTTCGCCCTGCAGCCTCCTCAGGTAGGTGTTTGCTGCTGAACCCTGTGAGGATCACATCATTCCCACCTGCGCCTGTCCAGGAGGGGCTGGGGCATCCCAACAAGGGTTCATCAATAGGGCTTTAGGTGCATCTCTATTTGCCGCACCAGGAACGTGCTGCAATCAGTGCTTCTGTGTCACCGGAAGGTGCGTATCCCAGGGATGAGCACCTACTCCATACTACACTGGTAGGAAGCAAGTTCTGCTCCATTCCTGTGTCACAACTACAAGAGGCTGCTCCCAGAAGAGCCCTTCAGACACAGCTCCGGAGTTTCAAAGCTGGAGATTGACTCCAAGCAGTTTCAGAGCCTTCCTTTTGAAGCAGAGGTGCACTGCAAGCTGGAACGTGAAGACAATCTGGTTTTCGTGCCCATTTGGAACAAGGACCATGGGGTTCTGCTGGGTTTATTAGAGGTGAAAAGGAGGGAAAGGACCTGGAGAAGCCCAGATCCTCCTGATAATGTTGGGAAGAATCCAATTCAGAAATAAGGGAGACATGGGATGGATCAAGATCAAACTTGGGCTCTGCCTGCGGAGCCTCCCAGACCCCACAAGTACAGTGGGGCTGTGGCTGAGAGAGCTGGGCTGGCTCAGCCTAGAGAGGAGAAGGCTCCTTAAGGTGCTCCGATTCCACATCCCGGTCACACCGGAGCAACCCGCATCAGAGAGAGCTGGAACCAAGCTCCCTGCACGGAGCCACCCCATGGCCAGAAACATTCCCTGCTTGGAGCCGAGTCACTCGTTTCATCATTGGAATGCTTGGATTCAAACTCACTTTTTCCTTCAGAGCCCACCTTGGCCAAGCCCTGGGGGTCCCATTTGCCCTGGGCACAGCTCAGAGGCTCTGATGTAACCCAATGCTGCTCAGCCCAGCTTTATTCCTCCCGCAGCATCAGTGCTGTGCAGAAACCGAACCCATGAGGGTGCCTTGTCCTTGTGGTGGAAGGGGCAGGCAAGATCTGAAGCAGCTCAATGGCTGCTGGGGTTTTCCCTTCAAATGATGCAGCAAACACGAGTGAAACCTCAGCACACAAGGGGCTCCCCAGGCACTTTCTGCTATAGAGAGCTGGGGGAAGGCATTCCCATTAGGGAATGCTGAACAAACCATAGCTGTGGGTTGGGTTTGCTTTGCCAAAGGCAGGAGCCAACTCCTTGCATCAGCAGGACCGTGTTCCAAAGCCCTTCAGAGGCTCCTAGAGGAGCACAAGCCCATAGCAGAGCTTTCAGCTCGCAACCCCTCCCAGGAGTCATTTTCTTCCTCCCATGTGCTGGCCAAGGGCTTGATGTGACTCATAGCGAGGTGCTGGGTGCTCAGGCAACACTAGAAGGCACCATTCCCCCAGGGATGAGGACACCTCCTGCTGCTCTCAACACCCAAGGAAAGCCACAAGCAAGAGCCTCAAAGGCCAAAAAGAATGAGAAGGTTTTATTTCCTTGAGCTCCAGTGGTACAACTGTAGCAGCATCTCACAAAGGGACTCCTGCACTGTTAAATATACATTTAAAGGAAACACATTAAATTCCAAGGCAGGCAAAAATATATATATATATATCTGTAAAATTAAGAACTGCAGACAAAGATCCTCATCCTCCCTCTTAAATAACATGTGCGTTTGTTGCAGACAAAGCAGCAGAACATGGTTCACAGACCAGGTTAAAGTGAAACTTCACTCGCAAAGGCAAACCCAGAAGGGATGAGGAGGGGCTTTGGTGAAGGGGCTTTCACTGGGGATCCAGCATCACATACAGCAGGAAGCATTCCAAACACAGAAGAGACCTCTGCAACTATCAGATGGGATGCTGCATCCCTCTCCAAGGAGGATGCGCAGCCAGGACCACCCTCCCTGTCACTTCATGTCCACAGGCTCCATCCCTGGGCAAATCCAGCCTTCACATCCCAGCTACTCACAGGTTACTCCAAATAGGAGATGAGGTTGACCCAGAATAGCCAAGATGATGTCAGAAGTATTAAAGCTAAGCAGCCAGAGCAAGAGGATGATGCACTGGGGACCGCTCACCCAGTGGGACTCCTACTGAAGCCACACTGGAAGCTGTCACCTTCCACATGATGCTACAGTTTGCCCCTTAATATTAAAGTGACCCAAAAACGTTCATCTCAAAGTGTTTCTGCCCATCTTAAAATGAAATATTTGGTGCAGTTCTGCTTCCTGTTAGTGATAACTCCAGTTTCTCAACAGAAAAAGACATCCAAGGCTAAGAGACAGCTCAGAGACCTCCGGCCCCTGCACACCAGAGATAGCTGAGAGCTTTCTCCAGCTGCACCACCACCACCAGTGGCCTCAAGCTCACCATTTGTGCACTTTAAGACACAGGGTGCATTTGACACAGTGATTCATTCAGTTTAAGTGACACAAAAAATAAAGGCATCAAGCAGCTCATTTCACCATCAGCAATGGCACAAGGCTAATTTACACAAGGCACATGCAACACCACCCGCAGAGGTGCGCTTTGATTTACTTTCTCCAAGTAGCACAGCAAGAGGTTTAGGTCTGTTTAGTGCCATCCCACCCAAGGTGCCTGGTGGATGGGACACCTCCAGTGACATGTGCCAGCCCGAGAGCTGCCCATCACATTGCAGCTCCCCTAGAGACATCCCACCCAGTGCTGACAGCAAGCTGAAGCCGCATCTCCACAAGCTGCACCATGGAGATGGTGCCAGCTTGAGCCATCGCTTCCAGGGAGGATGGAGATGTGCCCGCTGGTGTCCTGTCACTTAGGTTTACACATTCAGGCCCTGAAATCCCTCACTGGCTCCTGATCACCCAAGTAACTGGTTAAAGGCTGCATTTTGGGTTGGAAATCCCATTCCCAGTAGGAGCAGGCACAGCTTTGCTAGCCACTGCAAAGCTCAGCATCCCACAGCAGCAAACCCAGAGCACGAGGAACCTCTCTAGGTTGCCTTTCTGATGTTTTCTCTCCTCCCAACAGAGATGAGCAGCAGCTTATTGTCAAACCTGGGGCTGGGAGGTGCCTCCGGTTCTGTAGGGCAGAATTCCCTATGGATTTCCCTGCCTGCTGCTGGTTTGGTGCTGCCAGGATGTGACCCTTGTGACTCTGCAGTCAACCTGTAAACAGAAGCCCCGGGTCCCCCCTTAGGGAGCAGAGCAGCTCCATGCACCCCACTCCCAGCTATGGGGATGCACACGGTCGCTCCTGCGAGTGGGATAGGGGCCTTGGAGGGAAAGGATGAATAAGTTAAGGGAGGATGAGGCTGCACAGCCACCACACGCCACCAGAATGTACCTTTAAAAAAGTAGCTGCAAAAAAAAAGGACTTTTCTGATTAAAATCCACATTTTTTAAGTCTTCTCCTTGTAAAATACAATGGAATTGTTTCCCCTTTCTCCCACAATGTGTTTTAGGATGTCCTTCCTTGGTGGTGCCCCTTCTCCTTCCCCATCCCAATGAGTCTCAGGGGGTACCAAGTACCTTGGCACCCCCACAAGAACCCAGGCCACCATTTGGGGGTTCAATGCTGGAGAATTAAAGCCAATCTGGCTATAAAAATAAATGCTTTTGTGTCTTCCTCACACAGGATGGAAGAATCGAGCCCTTTTTAAACAGCATCCAGCTGTAGGAGTAGTTACAAACCCAACCCAAACGCCTCTATAGAAAAATAAAGGATAAACATTATCCATCTATTTCATATTCATATAAAAAAGTAAGCTCTGTGACAGGATATTTTGCTTCTTTGCTGTAAAAAAAGCCCCCACCCCAGGCTGGGTTCTACGACCCAAGCTTTGCGGTGAGGAGTAAACTGCATCTTCCACTTATTCAGAGAGAAAAATATCAGTCAGCAATTTCACTTCTCCAAAATAAAGTTATTAAATATATATATTATTATGACGAGTCTTTATAAATCTTTTCATGGAGCAAGGAGGGGAACACGTGGCTGAGGAGCACTTGAATCCCTGAGGAAGGGAGAAGTGGGCATCAGCTGTGAATCCACCACGAAGCTGGTACTTCCCTTAGCAGAGACCCAGAGCTGGCTGGCTTGCAGGTACACACACACACACACACACACATACACACAGAGGGGACACGGGGGCTTGCATTCACCCTGGGAGTCCTTCACTAGGATGCTCTCTTCTCCAGCTTGTGCTTTGTGAGAAAGTACTTGAAGAACTCGTACACGGACCAGGCAATGGCTGTGGAGGGCATCTGGTAAATGACACGTGCCTGCACCCCCCTGAAACACCCCGAGACACCACCCAGCTGATAGACAGTCTTGAAGGCATTCACCATGCCCGTGAGGTGCCCGCTGATGTTCACAGAGCTCAAGGCCATGTTCTCCTGGGTGTTGAGCAGGGTCTTGCACACATCCAGGGGAGTGGTGGCGGCGGCGGCCACGGCCCCCGCGACGGCCCCGGAGACGATGTGGGAGCGCGGGTTGTACTCCCTGTGCGGGTTGATCTGCTCCTGCATGAACTCGTAGGTGATGAAGTGAATGGCCTGGAAGGGCACGTTCATGGTGAGCTGCGTGGTGTAGCTGCGGTAGAAGGCACCAAACCCTTCCGTCTTCTGCACTGTCCTTATGCACGCCAGGACGGACTTGTAAGGGGAGTTGAACATCTGCATCCGCTGCTTCACCACTGGTCCAGGCGATGGCCACAGGGTGGGCAGCACCAGGCAGGACAGGCACAGGGACATAGACTTATTAGCTAAAGCACATCTTTCCTGGTCATCCCAACACTCAGCCCTGCTCCAAGCCCCAACCATCCAGAGCCAACCTCCCCCTTCCAAGTCCAAACTGCTACGACATAGAGCAGGTATTTCTGTATCAATGGGCTCCTTGTCAATGGGCTTTCATCAAAAAGCTCCATAGAGCCTCTGCTTCTCCCCAGTGCCTTTAATTCTAGCTAGAGAGGCATTGAGACAGACTGGAAAGGACCCTCAGATGCACCCCTAAGTGCTGAAACACTGACGCACCAAGAGGACAGGGGCAGAAAGGTGATTCAATCACCTGGAAAGTAGAACAGAGCCCAATCCTGAAATGGAACAATTTCCACTGACTTAAGCTAAAGCCAATTCATTTGATCAGGATGTGATTAAAAGGATTTCAAACACTAGAGACATTTTTTCCTTCAGAAAAATCTGATCTTGGGCCAATTCAGAAGCCCCATATATTAACACTGAAGAGCTGGCAGCCCAGCTGATTGGCTTCAGTTTAGCTGCATTTTACCATTAGCCCTCTTCATGCTGGACTCTACCTACCCAGGAAGCACTAGCAGAGCAGTAACAGCATCGTGTTAGTATTGGGGACCCCAGCTTCCCTAAGAAATCACAACATGCCATGCAGATGCTGTGCACCCCCTTGGCAAGCAAGGGAGAGCAGCCAGGCAGACTCTATCCCTATGCACTGACCTGCCTGAGCTCGTTAACAGTTGGGCAGAGTCACTAAAGCAAAGGGCTTAAGGTGCTGAGATGGCACAGGGTGTCTTCCCAGGCTAACGGGGTGCAGCACTTCCCAACAGCACAGGGCATTACCTTCAGCAGGATTCATCACTGCGTCGTGGAGTAGCGTGGCCACGCTCCCAGCTATACCTGCAAGACACAAGAGCATCCTTTAAGAAGGACATTCAGAAGCCAGGGCTTGCTTGGGCACTGCCATCTGCAGAGGGAGCAGCCAGCATCATCAAGGAATGGTTTGGGTTGGAAGGGACCTTGAAGCTCATCCAGTTCCAACCCCTTGCCACGGGCAGGGACACCTTCCACTAAAGCAGCTTGCTCCAAGCCCATCCAACCTGGGTACCGCTGCCTGGGATGCTGCAGCCCAAGGAAGCGCCCAGCAACACAACTCACTCCCAGTGCAGAAAATCCCCATCCAAAGCAGCCTGGCGGGAGCCAGGATCCCAACCACCACCTTTGCTACTCCCTACAGCAACTCCCAAGGTTTTGTCTGTGCAGGAAAGCCCCAGGTTCACCCAGCCTGTGCTGGACTGAGGCATGAGCAATGTTTAGCACTGCCTCAGTGCATCCATAATTAGGCATTTTCATCCGTTTACTCAGTCTAGTTTTAAACACAAATTGCCCAGATTCTGCCAACATCCAACAAGCCATTAATGATTGTGCAGTTGGCTCAAGGATGGGCCTCTCGAGCCACACCTTCCCCTTTGATGTAGGTTTCCATCTCACATTCTCTCTTGCCCAAATGACTTTCGGTCATTTCTCATTAAGGCAGCGCTTCACTCTCCCCACTGGAACCAAAAGCCTGTAGCTACTTGAAAGGCAAACCCAGGAAGCACATTGCTGGCAAAAAGCAGCAAGCCAGAAAGCTGTTCCATACCCTTAACTGAGGTGGTTGAGTCAAGTGAGAGCTGCCACAGCAGCTTCCCACCATCGCATTGTGTCAAGGACCACCACAGTGGTGGCAGGTACCACACTTGCCCCCTGCCTCTCCAGCCTTTCCAAAGCAGAGACCTGCAAGCCTGGGATGCCGTTTCCACCCCATCCTCCCATCCAGGTATTCACAGCAGCATTCTGAATGCTGGCTGCCTTCAGCAGCCGTTCCCAGAGCACAGCACAGCGAGGGATGCCAGGCCAAGCACATCAAGCAAGCAAGGGGCAGGCTGGTAACCGCAAGCTTAGCTTTGTGCATAAACCCCCCTCCCCAGAAATACCATTGGCCAAGTGGCTGTTTCCTCCATGCTGGAAAGTGTCACTTAGAGACTTTTTCATCTTTTCATAGCAGGCAAAGTACATGGCATGGGCAGGGCCAGCCCCCAGCATGGTGACGTTGATCCCACGTAAAGGCCTCCAGAAACCCTCCGTCAGGACAATCTTCTTCAGCGCTTCGTACACGCCCCTGTACTGAGCTTTGGGGTCCGGCTGCAAGCTCTGCATCCTGGTCTGCAACAAAGCACATGAAGGGAGAGACCTGAGTTAACCCATCTCGAATGCACCAAGCACAAGGGGAGGGTGAAACAGCCCCAAGACGCAGGAGCGGGCTCCATCACTCAGTCCCCACTTGCACCCACGCCGCTATTCACAGCGGCAAGATTAAGTTCATGCTCCCATTGCAACACCAGCACGTTACAAGGCTGCTCAGACAAGGGAAGTGTAACCTCTGCTCCCGTTTCTGCAGGGAAAACACAGGGAATTAAGCTCATGCAGCCGTTCAAACGCCTGGGTGAAGAAATACAGTTAGGTCTGTAATTGCCTCTTGCTTACAACACTCCCAGCTCTGCCCCAGCTTGTTCGTCCTGCTGTTGCTCAGCTGCTTGTGACACTGGTGTGCAGCCTTTGTCTGATCCCTTGGGAAACAGCTTTCCTAGAAGGGCAAGCTGAGAAAACCAGGTAACCACAGGAACCCCCCCATAGAGACAGGTAAAGGGCAGCGGAGCTGGCGCAGGGCCTGGAGCACAGGGGTGATGGGGAAGGGCTGAGGGACCTGGGGGGGTCAGATGGAGAAGAGAAGGCTCAGGGGGGACCTGATCGCTCCCTACAACTGCTTGACAGGAGGATGGAGCCAGGAGCTCTGCTCCAAAGGGATGGGACAAGGGGAACCGGCCTCAAGCTGCACCAGGGCAGGGTTAGATGGAGCTGAGGAACAACATTCTGAAGCCAGCTGAGCTGCTGGCACCCAAATGCTCCCATCACTCTCACTGCTGCCAAGGAGGCACCATGGGAAAAGTTACTCCTTTTGGTCTGCTTCAGGCTCCGGCAGGCTGATGCCATCACACACCAGCAGCACCCAAAGCCCTTGCGGGGATGATGCCAACCTGCAATGGTGTTTGCAAGACACAGACACGAGCTGCTTCCCACCACCAACAGGAGAGCCGCTGACAAGGCTTAAACCTCTGCAAACATCCCAGCAAGACCAAGCACATGTAGAGCATCCAAGATGGAAAGGGCTCAGGTGCTCCTGCTGGTCTGCGATCCCAGACTGATGGGATACAGCCTCCAGTGCAGCTTCACACCTAGGACCACAAGGGAAAAGCCATGAGAGAGGAGTGTTCAGCAACCTGCAACAGGCACCAAGCCAATGCTCTCTCAAGGAGAAGCTTGGGAATTGCAATGAACAGGTCTCTGACACAGGGGTTTGACAGGATGGATACCTCCCACCGCATCAGCTGGGACACCCCATCCTCAGATTGAAGTTCCCCCCTCAAGCAATGTGGCAGAACACAGGCAAAGCAGCTCAGTCCTCAGCAGGGATTCCACAGCCCTTGAGAAAGCAAGGGCTGCCCGTGCCACCTCCACACTTCCTCATGGGGACACATCCCTTCAAGCTTATCATTTCCCATCAGCAATTAGCCAGGAGGTAATACTACAGCCAAGCTTGCAGGCAAGACTAAGCCAATAAGGAAGGTTTGGACCTTCAATTCCCCAAACAGCTCCAGTCACTGCAAACTGCAGCACTTTCAGATACACTTTCTAGGACCAAGGAAGAGCTCAGAGCCCAGTGTAAGGCTTTAACCCGGTACAGTAAAACCGAGCTACGCAAGCAGCAAAGCAACACTTTGGGGCTGAGCCAAACAAACTGTTGTATTTGTAGTAAATGGCCTAAAAAAGGGCACAGGAATTACATCTGCAAAGTGACTTAGTGCAGCAGACTTGAGCATCAGCCAGTGTCCACGACAAGGCATCACCCTACAGCAGGGATTTGGCAGCCTCGAGCAAAGCTTCCTGTTTCAGAGCACTAAATGCATTGTAACCTATGAACAGCACTGGAAGCAGCCCCAAAGGCTGAGGAAAACCCTCTTGTAAAGGCAGCAACAGCACTGGGTTATCTTGGAGCTTAAACCCAGGCTTCAAATGCAGCTCGGAGCCACCTCTGAGCAGGCACAAGGGTCTTGAAGCCCTCCCCACGAATCCCAGCACATTCCCATCCTATGGATGCTCGTCAGGAGGGGCTGGATTTCGTGATGCTGCCAAGAAGCTCCCAGCAGCGGCTCCGCCGTCAGCGTGACTCAGCAGACCCACCGCTGCCGAGCTGGTCCCATCCAGCCGGGGCTGGGCTTCGCTTGGTTTCTCCTCTTCTCTGCTAGTTTTAACTTGAAGGCATTGCTTCAGAGGCCAGAGCTGACCCAGAGATCCCCATCTCACCCTGCTCCGCTCCTGGGATGCCTTCATTTAAGCACACAGCAGCTTCGTCTCATCAGAAGGGGAATGAGGAATAACCACTCCTTTAAAGCAGTAAACTACCAGCCCAGCCCTGGGTATCTCCACCCTCACTAAGGATCCAGTTGCTTTCACATCACAAGGGATAAACGCTTTCCCACTCTAGAGAGATCACTCAGCACGCAGAGTGGGTGGGAAGGGCGCTGGACCCACCTAACCCACACATGGGTCTGCAGTTTGCATCACCACCAGCACAGCCGGGTCCACCGCAGTTACTGTGGTGTGAGCAATGATTTGCCACCAGCTCTGCAGTTCTTCCCCCCCCATCTCCTGCCACCTATCTGAAGCCATCAAGTTCCTCCAGGAGCCTCACCCCCTGTTACCCAGCCAAGAAATACTTCTCCACCTACTTAGATTAATCCTCATTGCATAAGGCACTCACAACCACAAGCATCCCAGTAGTCCTGGTTTCAGCTTGGGCATGAGAAGCAACACCAAAAGTCACAGCTTCAGGTCCATCAGGTTACTACCTGTTTGTGGACCACTGCTGCCTTTATAGGTGCTGTCTGGGGGAGAGCACCCAGAAGCACATCAATAGCCCAGGGTTGCTTTCTACCTAGAGCTGCTTTATTAACAGGAGGCAGGTCTCTGCATAGGGGACACGGTTTGACATGCCACTGTACAAACAGGCTGGGATCTCATTCGCCTTTGTTTTCCTTCCTGGACACAGCATGCTTTCTGCAAGTTCATGTGACAGACAACCAGCTCCCCGAGGCTAACAAAAGACACGGAGAGCACAGCATGCTCTGACCAGGAAACGAGCAGTGTTTCTGCAGCAACCTGGCCAGATCCTGCTGCCCACAGAAGGCTCTGCTGCTGCACGACCCATGCCACGCTCAAGCTCTGAGCTCCCTTTTGTTGCTCCCAAGCAAAGCGATACCCACCCCTGTCTGCAAAGGCCCATGGAGGGGAATATAGGGCCAGCCATGACTTTCCGGCACCCCAACACTGACACAAGACCTCCTGGACCTGCACTGGATGCAGAACCTCTCACCACCAAACCCCAGGCAAGCATCACTGACTCCAAAGCCTGAATGAACTGCAGTAAAACAGCTCACAGGCGCTCATCTGCCCTGCTCACTCATACTCATGTGCTTTCAAGCTGCTACAAGCAGGGAAGCTCCAAAGCCTCCTTGCTCCAGGCAGGTCACCCACGGTTGATTGTCCTACCTGAAGCCATCAGAACACTCCATTCCATCAAGTCTCATTGTACCTATCCTTTCCTGTCCATTCCCCTCCCTGCCATCACAGATGTAGGCTCTATGTTCCTCCTACCCGTCAGCCTAGGAATTCCCATTACAGTCCAGGACCTCCTATATCCACTAGGAACCATACAGAGGCACAGCAGAACAGCTTCCAGACATCTGGTTGCACCAGCTTGGGTAGGAGCAGGTCAGGCTTTCACAGGTCACTGCAGCATGGTTGGAGCTGGAGGCAGGACTTTGCCATTAGTGTCACTGTGAGGAAGGGAGGCTCGAGCACATCCAGTGTCCCATCAAGCTGTCTGAAGCCATCAGCTCCCACGTGAGGACAACTCCACACCCTCCAGGCAGCCACTGCACCCACCTTGGGAAGCCAGCTCCAACAGCCTTGCAGGGAAGCCACTACACAGCTTAAGAGGATGCTCCAGGGGAGTCCTCCCGAAGCTCCCATGATGAGAAGCCCTTGACAGGCTGATCTCTACCATTCATCTGGAGGCTGATCAGGCTTGCCAGGACAGCTACAAAACAAAACAAGCCTAAAGACTATGAGACACTCATCTAAAACCCTACAGCCAGCGCTTTAATACAACCCTAGCATTGGGTGCATAAGACAGAGGCCAACACATAACCAAGGCTGAAGCTGCAAGGAGGTCTTTACCATTAGAAGGAAAAGACACCAAGCAAGTCTCAATAATCACAAGCCTCCAGGCTTAGGTGGTAAATACAACCCATAACACATTTCCCCTGTAAAGAAATAGAAACACTGCTGCAAAACACACAACTAGTGATGACTTCAGGGGCAGCACGTTATCACAGCAAGGAGGCTGCATGCAGGGATGTGCCCCATGGATTTCCATGTTACACAAGCACCAACAGCACTTCTGGGTATTATCAACACTGCCACACGAGTGTCTATGAGCTTCACAGAGGTCCGCTGGTTGCTCTCTTGACCGCTTCCCTTGACTCACCTCACCAGGACACCACCATCACGGCCCTGCCCTACCCCAGGAATTGTGCAAGCATCTGAAGCAAGCCATTTCCCAAATTCAAGCATTTTCAGTTTCTCTTTAGCAGGAAATGACTTGCTGGAGCCAAAACATCGCCTCGTCAGCCAGGTGCCTCAAACACCTCTTGCTGCAGCATCCACAATCCCTCATCTCCCCCTTGAGCTCTGCTCAGCCGCAGCCGATCCCAGTGAGCATTATCCACAGTCAGGCTAAGGAAGGAGCTGCAGGAGGAGAGCAGCGCCTTTCCCGCGGCTGCTTTTACAAGCCTCCAGTAGTGTTTGGTTACTCCCATTACAATAAAAAAGCCCTTTTTGGGTCAGTTCTCACCTTTCCCACGGGGACAGAGCAGCGGTGAGCGCCCATCACAGGACCCAGATCCTGCGGCTCCGGATTCCACTCTGCCCCAAACGCATGGGGTGACCTTGGCCACGCTTCAAAGTTCTCCCAGTGCTTTATCAGCTCCTGAACACTTCAAGGCAGCTGCTGAGCGGGATCATTCCCAGAGTAAGGCATTGCCCCGGTGCGATCCCAGCACCGGCAAGGGGGGAATTCACTGCCTGGGGAAAGCAGCACTTTCTTTCGCCTTCCTCCAAAGCACCTCCCACCCAGGGATACCAGGCACGGCTTTCGTTTTCTCCCTCTCCCTATTCCCTGCAGAGGAAATGCCCTCTTCAACCACACCAGGGAGGCCCGAGTGACGCTGCTCTGAGCGTGACTTGGCACAAAGCACCCGGCTCATTTGGGACAGGAGCCAGGCTGGGCTCAGACCCTGCACCTCAGAGCAGCCCCAGCCCACGAGCCAGGCCCAATGGGCACAAACCCAGAGGGAAAACAGAGGAAAGCAGCAGAAAATGTTTCCTTTAAGTGCTTATCGCAGCACACGGGCAAGATCTCCAGTGCCTCAAAGCGAAGGCATTTCCTCTCCTCTCGCTACTCCTGCAGGAGCCCTGTATTGGGAAGAAGAGAATTAGAGCATCTCCTTGCAGCCTTTCCTGAGTGGAGCACTGAGGATCCATCAGCACCAGCAACACAGCATCGAGGGCGCTTGGCTTTTCCCAACCTTTCCTCTCTTTTAAGAGCACGCTGTCAGGGAACAGAGAGGAAATACCCTTCGTGATGCTTCCGACCATGCTGGAGACACTGCGAAGCCCTCCCTCGTGTGCACCCAACAGCACCCAGAGCTCATTCGCATCGAACCCAACCACCAGCAGCCACACAGACCCCTTTGTAAAGCCCTGACTATGGTAAAGCCGCCATGGCCACGGCAGTGGGGTGGCAGGAGGTCGGGTTCACGCTGCTCACAACCACCCTCGTGTGTGGATAGACACAACAACACCGACTTTTCCCACCCGGCCTTGGGATTCCAACACTCCAGGAGGGCACCGGTGGCATCTCTGCCCCGGGGCGGGAGCAGCACAAGGACTTTGCTTGCTGCTTCGGGCCTCGGTGCACACCTTTGCACCGCGGGTTGCGCAAAGCTCACCGGGGCCGTGGGCACCGGTACTGCCGGGATGGTGCTGCCATCGGGGACACCTCGAGGGACCCCTCCGGGGGACCGTGTGCACCGCAGCACCCCGTTTCTCACCCAGCCCTGCACCTCCCGCACAGCCCCGTACCCTGCTCCCCGCAATGAGCATCCCGCACGCCGGGACCCCCGTGCACCCCGGCAGCGGCAGCCGTCGGAGCAGCTCCCCGGAGGTACCGGGGGCCTCCGCCACGCACCTTGACCGAGTCCACCGGGTACATGACCGTGTGCTCCATGATGCCCGCCACCGCCCCGGCTACCATGTGAGTGCCGAGCGAGGCGCCGCTGGGCAGGCTCTCGTACTCCTCGCCCTCCATCGGAGGCACCGGCGGAACGGCGGCAGCCGCGGGCGGGGGGCCGGGCCCCGGGGGTGCGGCCGCGCTGCCCCCCACTCCGCAGCTCAGCTCCATCCGCCCGGTACCGGCGGCGGCAGCGGGGGGCGACCGGGGGTTAACGGGGATGGGCAGGGTCCGCACGGGGCCCGCGCGCCGCCCCGGCCCCGCTTTAAAGCCGCGCCCGCGCCCCGCCCCGCCCCGCGCCGCGCCAGCCAATAGGGAGCCGCCGCCGCCGCTTCCCACCGCCCCGCCGGGCGTGACGTAACGCGCCGCCGGGCACCGGTTGGGGGTGATTGATAGAGAAGCAGACGAATAGAAAGGAGAGGCGGGTGAGGTGGTGGAGTGTGATTGGTTGCTCTCGGGTGCGGGGGGCGGGACGGCTGTGCAGGCGCGCTGAGGGGGGCAACAGCCCAGCGCGGTTTGAGGCGCGCGGGCCTCGTGGTCAGAGCCGGCCGTGGTGCGAGCGGGGCCCGCCCGGGGCTGCGCCCCTTGCACGGGCAGAGACCCCCGGGCACGGCCAGCGGGAGCGGGGATCCCCCGCAGGAGCAAGGCCCTCACCGGGGGGTCGGGTCCTGGGGCGCTGCGGCTGTCACCGTGTCCCGTCAGGGGGAGTCGTGGAGTGGGCTGGGCTGAAGGGACCTTAAAGGTCGTCCAGATCTGCCACAGGCAGGGACCCCTTCCACTGGAGCAGCTTGCTCCAAGCCCCTGTGTCCAACCTGGCCTTGAGCACTGCCAGGGATGGGGCAGCCACAGCTTCTCTGGGCACCCTGTGCCAGCGCCTCAGCACCCTCACAGGGAAGAGCTTCTGCCTAAGAGCTCAGCTCAGTCTCCCCTCGGGCAGGTTCAAGCCATTCCCCTTGCCCTGTCCCTACAGGCCCTTGTCCCAAGCCCCTCTCCAGGTTTCCTGCAGCCCCTTTAGGCACTGGAGCTGCTCTAAGCTCTCCCCTTCAGGAGCCTTCACTTCCCCAGGCTGGACGCCTGCTCCGTATGGGCTTGAGCCTCACCATGGGGAAGGAAAGCCTGTGGAAGGGCTTAGGAGAGCTTTCTGCCCTTCCCTGCAATGGCTTTTCGCATCCATCATCCCTCTGTGCAGCTCCCGCCCCATAGCAGAGCCATTAATCCTGGCCTTTCCACAGGAGGATCGAGCTCACCCCGTGCCCCTGCACCCCGGGGCGCTCCCTTTGTAACATCCCTTTGTCCCACCGTGAAATCAGCCCAAACCGACTGCATTTGACGCTCTTAAAGAGACAGAGGCAACGGCGTCTTCTCCAGGCCCAGCGCTGCCTTCGTTCTGTGCCTCCTGGAAGGATTACTTGGGATTCAGCCTTGCTGGGACGGTGGCATTGTATGGCCTGCACTGCAATCAAGGTTAACCGTTCTCGTGAAGCACCATGAGACTGCAAAACAGTTTATGTCTGCTTGAGCCTTGGGAAGCACGGAAGGAAACCGGCCCCTGAGAGCCTGGAGAAGCAGGAAAATGAAGTGCTTGGGTTTCCCATTAACCATGGAACCAATACATGTGAGGTGGGAAGAGCCTGGTCTGTTCTCACCCAGGTACTTGGAGAGGGGCTGCAGCATTGGCATGTGCCGGCCTCCTCCCTCCTGCCCTATGTTTGGGCTGGGAAGCCTCCATTCCCAGTGGGAACAGGATGTGTGACTTCCTCCTGATTGAGTTTTGGTACCTAGTACCCAGAGCAGTGCTTGTATGGGGTGGGAGAGATGGAGCCGTCCTCCTCCCTCCTGCCCTATGTTTGTGCTGGGAAGCCTCCACTCCCCATGGGAATATGATGTGTGACTTGCTCCTGATTGAGTTTTGGTACCTGGGACCCAGAGCAGTGCTTGTATGGGGGGTGGGAGAGATGGAGCTCTCTTCCTCCCTCCTGCCCTATGTTTGTGCTGGGAAGCCTCCATTCCCGATGGGAACACGATGTGTGACTTGCTCCTGGTTCATTTTGGGTACCTGGGACCCGGAGCAGTGCTTGTATAGGGGGTGGGAGAGATGAAGCGAGACCTGGCCGCTGTCCTATGTGTCCAAGCCATGACACTGACATGGAATCATGGCGCTCCCATGAGAGCAGGCATCACCAAGTGTCCTGAGAGCTGCAGGAATCAGGCTATAGAAAGCCCTTCACCAGCACGGGATTTACCACAGGGATTTCTAAACATCTCCTTCCCTTCCCCTGGACCATCACAGCTTCGTTTCCGTGCTGCGCTCCGACACTGTGGAGCCAGGGAGCCACGTGCACACACCTAACCCGGGCAGACAGCGCTCCAGGTGCTCACCCACGGCTGCGGGACGTGAATCAACGCCGGGCACGAGAGCTTCCTTTCTGTAAGGCAGCCTTGTGCAAGGAAATGCCTGAGCGCCGGCTCCGCTTCCCACTCTTGCTCCATGCAGTTTGTCTGGGGTTTCTGTTCCATAAACAGCCGTCAACAGGCGCTGATCTCCTCCCAGTGCTTTTGGCAGGGCAGAGGAGGGTGGGGAAATTACAGTGTCACCTTAATGAGCCCTTTCCCCTACAGTCTTAGGTCTGGCTCCCTGATAAGCATTAGTATGAATCAGTCTGAAATACGGTGCTGGTTCCAGGTAGGAACAGGTTATAATTTAACCCTGAGGAGCACCGGCACAAGGAATCCTTTCTGCTCCTGCTCTGTGCCCCTAGAGCCACCCTAGGGCACAGGAAGCTCCTTCAGAGGTGTCAGAGCAGAAATGCAGGGGTTTCCCTGCGTGATTTTCCCCATGTTCCTGAAGAAGAGATTAACTCATTCATCATCTGTGGAGGCACAGTGGGGCAGGGAAGCTGGTCTGGCCTGTGGTTTTGTCATGTCACATGCCCCACCGCAGGAAAAGGAACAGCCCAGTGCCTCCTGGATGGTTTCCTGCCATCACTGCCTGGCAAATAAGAGTCATCCCTTGCAGAGCATCACCAGAGTGAGCTTGATTTACAAACCCTTCCTTTGAAACAGATCTTGTGCAATGATTCCCTTGCTGCCTCCCGGGGCACCACCGCAGCTCGGTGCATCCCATCCCTGTGCTGGAGCTCCCCAGGTCCCTCTGCGAGCTCCAAATTCCATCACAACAGAGAAGCAGCAAAGAACACACTGATTTATGCTGCTAACAGCACAACCTGGCTGCAGGCTGCACGGAGCACACTCCTTTCTACACCGACAAGTCGATGCAGAAGACACCATTGCAATCTGCACACGCGTTGCATCACAGCGAGCAGCTAAAGATGATGAATCAGAGCCACAGATCTGAGTCCTCACTCGTGTGTAACCTTCTTCATGGGGCCTGTGCACCATAGGGTAGCTTTGAACCAGCAGAAATAGAACCCAAGACCAGAAACATGACGAGGAATGTGAAATAACCTGCAAAATGAAGGGAAATGCTCTTGGCTTCCCTAAGACCTGGCCCAAAGAAGGTGTCTTCAGCCCCCAGGCCAGCTGCCTGGTGCTCCACAGCTGATTAGGAGCACCCAGTTTGCTTATCCCAGCTCCTCACTGGGCAGGAGGTGCAGCATGGAGCTGCACCCACGGTGATAAGGCAGGAGTGTCCTGGGAGGCAGCCACCTTCTGGAACCACACAAGCTGTGGGTTATCTACACCATGCAGTGGGAGGGATGTCATTTTCTTCTTCACTTTCCAAATGTACAAGCTCTCTAACAGCTGAGCAACGCCTTGGCTTACGGGGTGTTGTAGCTGCCACCATCACGGGGCTGCAACAGCGGTGCAGAGCCATGGGTGCTGAATGGGGTAAGGAAAAGGCACCCAGACTCATCAAATGCTTTGTGTTGGAAGGGACCTTAAAGCTCATCCTGTTCCAACTCCTGCCATGGGCAGGGATACCTTCACTAGCGCAGGGTGCTCCAAGTGCCTCAGCACACTCACAGGGGAAAAACTTCCTAAGATCCCATCTCATGGTGTGGATGCAGCCCCTTCCCAGCACACCAGCACTTGGCCACCCCCAGCCCCATCCCTCCTTAGACATGTTCAGTACTCAAAATGGGTTTCAATCAGCAACTCTGGACCTGTTTCCCTGGGAAAAGGCAGCTATGGGGATGCGGCAGTTGCTGGGAAACCTGATGTGTTCCCCTTTATTTCATTATCTCCATGTTAGCCAATGCCACAGAAACTAAGCAAGCAATGTTGTTTTGTCTTCAGGTTGGACTGACCCACTTCTGTGAGCAGCAGTGCAAAGCAGCCCCTGGTTTTAAGCCCTGGCTGAACACACCGAGGTGCTGGCAGGTGAGCTAATGCTGCAAAAGCAAGAACATTAATCCCTGCTCTGGCACACAACTCAGAGCATCTCTTTCTGCCTCGATTCCCCAGCACTCCAGATTCCCAAGGTATTCATTTAATGGCCAGCACATGTATAACAGGTTTATGTGTAACTGCTCAACCATGGTGTGTTCAGTTGATGCCAGTGAGGGCTGTGAACATGAATGCAAAGGGAATTAGAGGGAATTGGGTCCTAATGATGCTGCAGGGTTATTCCTATGCCAAAACAGCCCAAATCTGAAAACTCAGCATTACAGCTCCACAGACAGATCCAGCACCCATTACCATTTATGCAACCTCAGAGGTGAAGGAGGTGTGGATGCGAGGAATTTGGCCTCTGGGTTTTATTTCAGTGCTCACATAATCTGACCTATTTTACCATTACCCAGCTCCATGGATTAATGGAACAGGGAGAGGCGATACCCAATGAGCATCACGAAACCTGCCTTTTGTGTTACTTCCTGGACCAAATTCTTGTCATCAACTTGCCTTTCTGGTTTGAAGCCCTGGGGAAACAATGGGGATAATGTGCTTTGGGGTGAACTGGTAGCACTGGGCAGAGGAGGCTGAAAGGATGCCACGAGGTTTGCTGGGGTTGGGTTGTTTTGGCTTTGTTTCTAGCAGTCAGCAAAACCAGATCCAGAAAACAGGGGGAAGGAAACCTTTGGCTTGGTGAGGGGATGTGCTTAAAGCTGGGGATGATCCTGCTCTGCCAATGACTCCTTGCATGGCCTTGGTCAAATGGCTGAATTCGGATGGGTTTCACTTCTGGGTAAGGTTTTGTGTGAATCAAAGAGAGTAAGGATGAAAACCAGGATGAAATGAGGCCTCTGCAAGCAGGGCTGTGGCTGG